TTTGTCCTCTCTCAAGAACGAAACTTTTACCGGTGATTAACGAATGTTGCCGGCCAGACCCAAGCATGTATTGCAGCGTTGTTCCTTTTTTGTAGAAGCTATGTAGAAACACACGCAATATAGCATAGTGTGTAGCCACCTTGGTACATAACAAAACATTTAAACAAGTTACAAATTAGATCATCTCTTTCGTTTAATGCCATAGGCGTTTCCCCCCAGGTACTACTGTTCACTGCTCAATGCTCATGTGTTTGCTTTGTCTCCCGAAGCTGAAAAGCGTGCTCCTTCTCATATATCTTTATGAACAAATTGTTTTCAATATGTATAGCAAATTAGCCTATATGTATCGGCTCAGCTGCGAGAAACGACCAGAACATTGTCAGAATATTGCTAATTAAGTTAAGCGTCGAAGCAATTAAGTCCGTCATTCCAGTGTTTGTGTTCTCTTTCCATTGCACCTAACCACCAAATGACGGTCAGCTGTAGGACCCAATTAGGCTTAGTTCGTTCTGATGCTTACAGAGACATCAATGCTCAGTGCGCACTTTTAAGTCGACCTATACGATGTTTGTTTTATATATGTATTGGTTAATTCAATCTGTTGTTGCTAGAGTTCTTTGCATCCCCTTGATAACCGGTAAAAGCTTTTTTATCACGACACAGCACCTTGGGCTTGGCTCATTGTAAGGCATCATGCATCTCTCTTTGAAAAGGAAACACAATGCTGAAAAATAAAATAATGACACGTTTTGTTGCTCTTATTACCCCCACCACGGAAGGCATTCGGTAGGAGCGGTTTAGCTTCGACTTTATCCCTTTGCTCTTTATACTCTCGTGCCGATTTTACTTCGCTGCGAATGTGATTCCTGGTATATATTATTCAATATCATGCAGTGTACGCTTCAGCCTATGATATTTGCAGTGGGGAAGGATCTTGTCCGCTGGTTCACTGGGAAAGCTTGCTTTTCCTCTTTTGCTCCCTTTATTTGAACAGCTTCTATTTAGCTCGTTTTTTTTTCATTCCCCGCCGCGCGTACATGATGCTTCTTATAACATTGACGAACTTAGATTTGTGTTGGTTGGTTGGATTTAGACTGTTAGGAGTATGCTTTTTATTAATAATTCAGCTATATTTCTTCACTTTAAAGCAGAATCCTTATACATGGCGTAATACACCATAACGATGTCATAACCCATTCATAAGAGCTTTGTTAAAGGTATTTTACAGCTGCTTTAGCTTTAACCTTTTACCTGCATTCATATTTATCCCTTGCTTTTGAGTTTGTTCTCGATTTGGCATGTTTTGCCACTTGCGATGGCTTTTCGCACATGCTTTCGACATCTCATTGGACGTGTTCCTTGCTTGCATCGCAAAATTATGCACGAACTGGTTATCACTTTTGGCATACATGGTCTCCCCATGAAATATTTCACTGGAATCGGCTGTGTGTTTACTGCCCTATTGGCTTGACGTGACACTGAAGTCCTGAACCTTACACAGCAACTTTTCTTTGTTTACACTCCTTTTCACATTGCTCGTATTGGTACGTCTGCCGTTGCGAAGATTTTTTCAACCAAGTGTCCCAACACCCCTGAAGCTTGACCTTTGAGTACCCCCACCACCCATCTAAACCCCTCTGACTCCTATGGCTGCGGCGACTCCGTGTGACTCTCAGGGCCGCGGCGGCGGCGGAGTCACATGAGTCACATGAGCTACTTCAGCCCGGCTCCAGAGCCCGTGACCCGACCCCTGGCGCGCTCTGTGTCCTGGACTACAGACAGGAGAGGCGGCGACTCACAGGTCAGTCCGAGCTGTATACAGATTCGGCACAGGTGATCGAGATATCCCCACTCTCTTAGTTTAGACGGAAGGGGTTACAGCAGTGTTGCTGTCCTCAGAAGAAGCTGATATATTGTCGATTTAATGTGAAAGAAAGTAAAATGTCTGTGAATTAGCAGTACTTGATCTAACGTGGCCTAACCCTAGCCCACCAGGTTTTAAAATCTGTCCTGGCTTGTCGCTTGTCCTGGTGCACAGGGCGTCCTGCCCACTGGTGCCCTCATTTGATCGGTGTACTCCTACCTATTGGTGCTCTCCTGTAAATAGGCGCCCTCTCACCCGAGTCCCGAAGGCGCCTCCTGTAGGTCGCCACCCTGCTACACATTGCTACCCTTCTGCTGGTCGGCGCCCTCATATTATTGGCGCCCTCCTATCTATTGCGCCCTCATGTGAAATTTTGATGGCCGCCCTCCTCCCTTTTGGCACCCTCTTGTTGATGCCGCCCTTCTAGCCATTGGCGCCCTCCTACCTATTGGTTTCCAAGTCCCTCCTGTTGAATGCTAATCGGGGCCCTTCTACCTATTGGCGCCCTCTTGTTGATCGCCGCCCTCCTATCCACTGGCACCTTCCCGTTAAATCGGCGCCCTCCTCACAGACGCCCTCCTGTCAATGTCATGCTCTTGGGCAAAGCGCCCTCCTCACCATTGCCACCCTCCTGTTAATCGTCACCCTTCCACTCATTGACGACTTCCTGTTGATGACCGCCCTCCTACCCATTGGCGACCTCTTGTTGATCGCCACCTTCCTATCTATTGGTGCTCTCCTGTTCCTTACCGCCCTCTCACCCATGGTGCACCCTCCTGTTGATTGTTTATCGGAGCCTTCTTACCTATTGGCGCCCCCTTTTGATCGCCGCCCTTCTACCCATTGGCGGCCAAGTTTCGGTGATTGAATGTGCTAACACTGTATGCATCTGTGAGAAGGTCATGAGGGCTGGTCAAGGTAATTTGGATGAGAAGCCCGAGAAGGCTAATCGATCTCATGAGGTACAGCCCTGTTATGGTTTCTCTTTCTGTTGTTGCCGCCTTCTCGTTGTGCGCTTGTGTTTACGCACCTCGCGCTCCGGTATCAATCCGATATGGTGATCTGGTGTGTATGCCACCGCCAATAAACTTTTCTACATCGTCACCCATGGGCGAAGCTTTCTATACAGCTTGTGTGGCACCGGCCCCACCAAACCTTAGGTATTTTTTACACCTTCAAATTTGGTAAAAGAGCGGGAAGAGCTTTGAACAGTGAGCACGCAAAAGATGTGCCTAAAAAGCGGAGGAAAAGGTTGTTTTCAAAAATTTCGCGCGCCTTCGGCACAGCATTTCACAAACTCTTCTTTACTAGGAACTTAGTACCATGCCAATAACTTGCAACCTTTTTGTCACGTGTGAGATGAGCCCGCGCCAGGAGGTTTCTTCAGACATGCGGTTAAAAAAGATCCGAAAAAGGTGTCACTACGTTACGAGCTTCCGTTTTTTTTCCTGGGGGAGAGAGGGAAGTGGTTGAGCGGGAGGGGCACACCTTTTAGTACATTGCTCTTACACGTGCTCTAAAAATGCAAACCATAGTCGCTAAAAGCAAGGTCATCAGGTCATGTCAAGTGATCTAACTTAAAAAAAGTTTTAAGCATTGTCACTTAAGCTGAGCGGGTGACTTGACCTTTTTTGGCCTGGAGTAAAAACAAAATACACACGATGCCAAATCAATGCAGCATAACCTATATACCAAGTCACGCAAAAAAAAAACTGGTGGCGTGGAAAAAAAACACCTCCACCCCCCCCCCCCCCGCTGAGCGGATTTTTATCTCGCGACCGTATGGCGCCCTCCTGGGGTGAGGTGGCGCCCTCCAAACCCTTGCCCCCCCCCCCTTCGCGATTTTCTAAATACGCCGCTGCTGGTGCACCTTCTCTGTCGTGTTCCAGTCTTACCTTCGCTTCACCTGAAATTCCCTGTAGGGCTATTTTGAACCTATCCTGGACTACGTGAAACCCGCCCGATCCTTTTCTGACCCTAATCCACCCTGATCCTCACCAAATCTTACCCTATGACATCTCTCCAGTGACCTGCCCTTCCGTGATCGAATCGGATTTCATCTGACTTAATCTGACCTAAACTGACCTGACCTCGCCCCACCAGACGTATCACACCTCACAGCTCCGCCGGAGATTATGATGCCGATCATCACAAGGACGGCGGCCACGCCTCAGTCATCTCCCCACGCCACGCTGGAGAGCAGGCACAACCACCGGCACGCTGCCCTGGCTGACGTCATACAGGTGAGAGGGGAGAGAGAGAGAGGGAGATAGAGAGAGAGAGCAGGCACAACCACCGGCACGCTGCCCTGGCTGACGTCATACAGGTGAGAGAGAGAGAGAGAGAGAGAGAGAGAGAGAGAGAGAGAGAGAGAGAGAGAGAGAGAGAGAGAGAGAGAGAGAGAGAGAGAGAGAGAAAGAGAGAGAGAGAGAGAGAGAGAGAGAGAGAGAGAGAGAGAGAGAGAGAGAGAGAGAGAGGAGAGAGAGAGAGAGAGGAGAATATAATGTCATAAAGGGGACAGAACTGTGAGGAACTGATGATTTTGTAGACTTTTAGGTGGTAGTGGGTGAATTGTGCATAGTGATTCTTGATTGAAGGAAACATTGACAAATATGTATGTCCATGGTATTTTTTTATACTTTTTATTTATACCATTTTTCATTAAACTCCACTTTCCTCGTTTTGGCTTGATTTTACCCGGCTTTAATTTCTAACTAATGATCCCAATAAATGCTTTCGATGTCCAACATCTCCCGATGACTCGTTTCCATCTATCCCGCAGGGTGGCGAGTGCCGGAACGGCTCCGGCCTCTCGGGGGCGGGACACTGTTCACTGAGCTCCTGTCCGTCGACACCGGGCCGCTCTGACGTCAGCAGCCACGAGCCAATCGCTGAGGAGGGAGAGGAGGGCACCTCCGAACAGGAGACACCGCAGCCCACACTCAGGTACGCCACCGTTCCCTCTGTTCTACCCTCAGGACAGCCAACTTCTGCATGTCTGCAAACCCCTGTTCTGGGCCGGACGGTCACCGTCATCCGTTGTGGGTGGTAGCTGCAGCCTGCAGCTATTTCAGAACCTGGGTGGTCTGATCAGGGGTGTCAATATGACATGTCCATTTTTTATTACAGATAAGTTTTTTATTATTAATATCGACTGACTTATATGAAACTAGTAAGCGATAATACCAAACTCGCGCGCTGCTAATACGCGCAGATGACTGCTGTGGCAAACATCTGTTTTCAACACGAGAGACAAAACGCTCCATTGTCTAATTCTCATTGATACCGTAACGATTTTGCTGTCCAGTTAACTGGGAACATTCAACATTCAGCTCTATTCAGTTTCTGGATCTCAAACGATTTACTGCTTCAGAGCTTGGAAATTGGCCAACGCGTCTCCCGGAGCCGGCGTCTTCAATTTGGCCGCTTAGTGTGGCGCCGTTGTCGCATTTAAAGCAGACGCTATTTTCTTTCTTTCCGCTTATTTACGCAGAAGGCAGCCACTTAGGAAATCGATGTGACTTGTCGGTAAAAAGCGTTCAACTGCCGTTCGTTAGTTGCTTGTGTGTCGCGGTTCTGCAGTATAGTTCTGTAGTATGGTACAGGCGAGGGCGTATTTATATCGGTTAGGTATGTGAGGAAGAAAGTTTAAGTTCGAACCTATCAACTGGTAGCCCAAGGTCCTGCTTCACAGCAGAAGACGTCATATCCGAACAGGAACGCGGGGTCTCGTTGTCGTTTCTTATATCAGTTCTAATCACGCAGAAAATTACTGTGTGCAATCTTATTTTGTTGCTAGGGACAAAAAAGTTAAATCGATTTAATTGTCGAATTCGAAAAAAAACATCCTAGCAGCATTTCGCTCAGCGTTCGCTTTCCTTTCAGCTGAAGTAAACCCTTCCTATTTCCCACATACAGCTCCAGACTACATCATAGCGCCTGCACGCTGGTCTACCGCGGTCTCTGAGCCAATCAGAAACCCATTACCAGCCCCTGTCGACGTCACCGGGACGTTTTGTGACGTCACAGGGGGTGTTGACCGAGCCGACGCCTCGGTATTTGCAGAGTCCACCGCAGGCCTTTTGATGTGCCGACGCCGACCGCGCTGGGCTGGACCAATAGTCATCGGTTGATCACGTGAGCTGTTGCTGTCACTTGGCGCTAGGCTGTGCAGAATGGCAGGGTCACGTGACACTATGGTGTGGAAATGTTGGCACTCACGTGATAGGACCGATCTGAGTTGACGGGAAATGTGTTTTGCGTTGTTGTTGAAGGAGGTGTTAGCAAGAAGCATACGATGCAATGCTTCGACAGGGTGCTTGTTGTGTTTCTGGGCTACGGGCGCTTGTTAACAGGTGCTTGTTTCGTAATGCATAACTTGTTTTTGCTTATTTTCATCGCTATTAATATTGCGACATAAGCTCGGTTTTAAGCTACAACACTGTCGATCAGCCAAAACATGCAAAAACACATGTCAAACATCGTGGCTTGAAATCCCCGAACGGAAAAAGTTGACTACATATTTATTTGCCTCATCCCTTACTACATATTCCGCAAGTGTTCTACGTACTCGCCCATATGCTGACTGTTGCTTGCCCACCGATAAGCTTTAAAAGTCCCATTTGTCCCGCCTATTATTCAGACGAGCGTTGTTCGTCCTCGGGTCAAATAATGACCTCCGTGTGTAGGATCCCTCCCTTCCGCTGTTCTTTCATATCCTTGGCTCTGATGAGTCTTTCATCGGTCCACGAATGAACGCCCTTTAACCCAGACTCAGCTCCTGTATTTACACGAGTCTTATCGGCTCCGTTGCTTTTGCAGGCATACATGTAGCTACTAGTGGTGTCAATCGGAACTTGAATCTTCGGAATTCCGATTTTGTCCAATGTCCAATTCGGAATTCGGTTGGACAATGACAGCAGGCTTTCGACAACTTTGGACAATCGCTTGCTACACCTTAACATTTTTATAAAGTAATCGTGTTTAACATTGATTGGCTATTAGAAAGCTCAGCTTTCGATATGATTACCACTTTTGAGCTGGTAACGATACATTAAAAGCAAATTAAATAACGGTGTTGAGTGTAAACTATTTCTTAGATGTCGGACATCTTTGAACAAATGGCTGGCTTGGACATTTTTGGACGGACAGTCGACGTAAGTATTGGACATTGGACGGACATTGGACATACGTTTTCTGAAATTGACATCACTAGTAGCTACTAATCACTGTTCATGTCTCTACCGCTGAGTTTTTCTGAGTTCTGATGAGTTAACTCCCTTTTCCAGTCGTCAGGCGAGCGTCAACCGCGGCCAGCCTCGCTCCTGTCTGGCCCGCAGCAGGAGTGTCAGGAGCGGTCACAAAGTCGAGATCGATGACCCGGCGTCGGCACCGACGACTGACAGGTCAGTGGGGTCAGTCGGTACACAGGAGAAGTTGGTGCAGGTCAACAGAGGTCAGTGTATGTAGGTCAGAGGGGCCAGAAAATGACAACAGCGGATACCGGCTGAGATCATGACGGGCCGCCGGGAGGCGTTATTTGGCAAACGAGCGGCGTTGGAATGGGTCCATAGAGAATTAAGCAAGGAAAGGTTGGAGTAGGTCAAGAGAGGTCAAAAGATCCTCCCCGCATGCTGTGGGCAGCTTTGTCAACACCTAATCTAAAACTGTACAGTCATATTTCAACCATCCACCACGACCGCCTACTACGAGCGCTAACTCCTATAGCACTATACGCAATCCATCAACTAGCACCATCCTCTAGCTGCTAACAGCATCCACTAGCACCATTCGCTAGCACTCTCAGCTACCATCCGCTAGCACGCCTAGCTTTTAGCACTATTTACTAGCACCATCCACTAGCACTAGAACCACTATTCTAGTACAAGTGCTACCCCTGTGAGAGGAAGCTCGACATTGGCAAACAATATGCTCGTCTCGAGTGGCTGGCCCCTGAATGGCTGACTAGAATCGAGCCGAGCACAGCCGAGGAGACGACTTTGGGAGGGTCTCATTTGGAGCGACTTCTGAGCACCGCCTGCGAAATGTTCAAACATAGATCTGAAGATGAATGGGAGGATGAGAAGGATCAGACGGGAGAGAGGGAGAGAGAGAGAGAGAGAGAGAGAGGGAGGGAGAGGTGAGGTGAGGTGGGTGAGTGAGTGAGTGAGTGAGTGAGTGAGTGAGTGAGTGAGTGAGTGAGTGAGTGAGTGAGTGAGTGAGTGAGTGAGTGAGTGAGTGAGTGAGTGAGTGAGTGAGTGAGAGTGAGTGAGTGAGTGAGTGAGTGAGTGAGTGAGAGAGAGAGAGAGAGAGAGAGAGAGCGAGGGGGAGAGAGAGAGAGAGAGAGAGAGAGAGAGAGAGAGAGAGAGAGAGAGAGAGAGAGAGAGAGAGAGAGAGAGAGAGAGAGAGAGAGAGAGAGAGAGAGAGAGAGAGAGAGGATCGTGCTGAAAGGGAGTGAAACTGACTGCATAGGAGACGAAGAGCGTTGATGGAAAATGAGAGGATGAAGAAGAGTACGATGGGATGCTAAAAGGGAGGTGTAAGAGGGAGGTCAGAATTAGAGGATCCGAGGTGAGAAAATGAGAGTGCGAAGAATCGGAGATAGAGAAGCAGCAGTGGACTAATTGGGAAAGAGGAGTGAAAACCTCTGTGAAAAACTGTTCAGTGGGGAGAGAGAACGGTATTGGAGAGGTGGCGAGAGAATTGCGTTGATCGTGTTGGTCTCAGAGGCAGGTGCAGTACGAATTGCAAAAGCCCGATAAATTGGAACGCTTTGAAGCTGCAGCTACAGCCGCAGTGACATTCATCGAGCAGTGGCGGGGGCGAACGACTTTTGGTGTCGCCTTTAGCTGGATTCGAATCACTGGTTTTGTATGGGGTCAGGGGCGAAAGGAGAACGATTCGTAGCCCAAAGAATTGATTGAGAAGAGGCAGGAAGCATCTGACAAAAGACGGTTGTCCAGGGCACAGTCGGGGAACAGGCAGGATATATATTTTACAAATGGTCTGTATGTAACGTACATGAAGATTCGCACAAATGCTATTGCTAAAATTGCAGCTTTGTTTATTGAGGGCGACGTGCTCATATTTAAACAAATCGAACAGTGTTTTTTTCTGCAGCGAGATCTGAAAACGCCAAACGCAGACCGACAAACGCTAGTGCACTTTGGAGCAACATTCATAATTCACTCCGCAAAATGTACGCCCGCCCGACGCGTGTCATAAATGTTCGTTAGTGTTGGTCGATCCACGCGGGAACACGTTGAACGGAGATTTATATTCTCCACAGACAAGGCAACGGGCGGGAACTTTTGTAGGCAGGCAGAGTGCTACCATGCACACGCGTGTTAAAGATTCGTAACATTTTTTTAGGTGGTGAGAAGCAACGATCTCTCTTAAGTGTCCGAATGTTCGAAAAATTAGGTACTGCATTTTTTTTCTCCCACAAAAGGTATGGGTAAACAAGATATCTAAGTATTTTGCTTGGTTTATTTTCGTAATGTTAACCCTAATGTATTCTTATTCCCTAAATCACAACCACTGACTGTAATAGAATTGCTTCTTACTGATTCATGGCTCCTCACTTCCCAGACTGTCGGGGCGAGACGAGCTATACCAGCGGTACAACGGTCGCGTGAGGAAGTTCTCATGCGACTCCCAGCAGCGGCCACCGTCCAGCGACGGCTCCAGAAGGCTGAGTTTCTCCGACACACCGTCCAGCTTCATGGCCAGCCGTCATAACTCCTTCGGCAGTCGCCGAAACTCCACTGTTAGCCGGCATAACTCGTTTGGGAGCCGGCCTAACTCACTGAGTAGTCGGCAGAATTCCTTTCGGAGTCGAAACAACTCGATTGGAAGCCGGTACTATTCGATTGGCAGCCGTCAAAACTCAGTTGGGAGCAGGAGGAATTCGGTCACCAGTCGACAAAACTCGTTTCGGTTCAGTCGACAGAGCTCACTGCATCGGCAGGTAAGCGGAGCTGTTCATTAACTAAAATCCTAGAAATTTATTGCTACATCGTTCCGTCGTCCCATCCTCAGGACATTCAAATCCTTCTCCTCCACACCTCAATCTCCTGTTCCGGGATGGACGGGTTAACATTATCCCATGCGGATAAGGAGTAGCCCGTAGCCGGGCATGCGGTGACTGTCATGGGGCTGGGTGGCCTGTCCACTGGACGGGCTCAGCCCCGGTGACTCACTAGGGTGCCCGCCCAGACCAATATCTCCCCCTAATTTCTATCATCCTTCCGACTCTGAAATGGTCTCATTAGACCAAAAGAGCCTAACCCAACAAAGCAAAAACAAACTATTGCTACTAGAAATCCTGTTGCTAAAAAAGTACCTCCTCATTCGTCATCGCGATCCCCATGACAAGCCCATCGGGATCCTCCTCACACTTCCCTTTCCGGACTGGTGGTCATTCCTTTCAGACACCCGGTGGTGGGGACAAGCCCTCTCTGGATTTCACCCTCTCTGGGTGACCGTTTGAGCGGCAGGGCGGGCTGTCCTATTGGGACAATGCCGTCCTACCGGGTGGTCTCGGCCACTGCGACGCACCGTCGGTGGTCCGCACAGTCCAATGTTTACCTCCCATCCTGTCATGCTCCAGCTCTGCAATGGCCCGTTTAGCCAGAAAGAGTTTACTTCCAACCAAACAAACAAGCAAGACATGCCTATTTGCTTGTTATTTATTTACGGGTATATCGTAGGAGCTGAAGCGGATCTGTAAATAATTTTGAGTTTAATATAGACTTCAGCTTTCTGCATTTATTTTTCACCGGTTGTTTTATGGGATGAGAGCTGGACCGGTTAATAAGAGCGGATAATGATTGCAGCACCGGCTAATGGAAATGTGCGTTGAGACGTCGTGCCTATATCCAGATCAGTTAAATTTGATTAACTTTTGAGTTGTCAAGGATCATTTTTATGTGTGTACTCAACGTGAATGCTAGCGACATGCTAGCAATAGCTGTTTTTTTTTTTGCATCCCTCGCCCACTTAACCCGGCCGGGCCCGGGGGGTAATCCCAACCACCGCAGCTCGGGGGGGGGGGCGTTTTTCGCCCCCCCCTGTCTAACTCCGTAAATAAGGGAGCTACGGAAACAAAAGCGATACCAAACGAAAGGTCCTTACGAGACGATTCTAATGCACCTAAAATTTTTGACCTCAGGTCAATTTTCAAGGTCAGAGGTCAAGGTCAAAGGCCAAAACCGGCACATGTGTAGTGATCTCAAAGGAAGCCTTCTAGAGGACGGCAGGCTGCATCAAACCGGCAAAATTGGGTGTCAAACGAAAGAAGAGAATCTGAGGATTCTGAAAATGTGCTCCAAATCAAAGGTCAAGGTCAAGGTCACGCTCAAAATTGACCTCAAACTTGGCACTTTTTCGCACATCTTGCGTGCTAACTTCCAAGATGTTTTGAAATGTTTTGAGGCTTATCAGTTCCCTATTTGTGATTCATCTTACGATACAAGGCTGCTCAAAGGTCAAGGTCACAGAAGAGTATCCCTGCTAGAGGCTATTTCACTGATTCAAGTTAGTAATAATAAATAAGAAAATTTTGCCATCCGGAAGCTCTAAATGAAGGCTTAGAGGAAAATAGATGCCAGATTCGTGATCAGCGGGTACAAATCCATCATAAACGACCTTTCATGTGTCAAGGTCAACCAGAGGTCATTCGAGGTCACATGAGGTCAACATGAAACTTGACCTTTTCCGAACAAAATATATATCATTCGACGCGGCTTGACAAGGCGAATGCGATGGTACCACTGCCGTAGCTCTAGGACCATTTTTGTCGAAGTTATTTGCGAAAAACTAAAACCACATTTCGGGGTCGTTGACCTGACCTCTGACCTCAGGTCACCAAAACTATTTTTCTATTTTTCTCTAGATCAAACGCTACACAGCCGTGCTCGTAATTTGTCTTTATCTCTAAAACTCTATTTTTAGCAGCTATTTGAAGTTTGCGTCTGCGACGCCGAAGTTTGCCGTACAGGGGTCTAGAAAAATGGACCTTGTGACGTCATCAAGGGGGCTAGGTCAAAATTTTTTACTTCAGAAGATGTCAAATTGATGTGAGAAAAGGTATTGAAAGTTTCGCCTTCTTATCCCTAAGCGTTCGGGAGTTATCGCAAATATTCGCCAGGGGGGGGCCGAAAAACGCCCCCCCCCCCCGGGCCCGCGAGGGTTAAACTCTTACCCTCTACATAACCTCATACCTCCCCCCTCACACCCGCAACTCTGATGTCATCACACCGTCATGACGTCACCATGGCAATCGCCTGCAGTCCTCGGTGTGCTCCCGGTCGTCGGCGGCGCCCAAGTTCACCGTTCTCGCGCTGGACACGATACCCCTGGACCGGAGTGGCTCGGCTCTCACCAACTCCATATCACCACATAAGAAGGTGCCGAAACTGCTGGGTCTCTTCGAGCCGCTCGAGTGTATGAAGAAGAGGGCTGACTGGTCGCTGTATCTCTTCGCCCCGGATAATGTGTAAGTAGGAGGTAGTATAAAATTGGGGTAGGAGAGTTGGCAGTCCCTTAGTGAAGATTGTTAGGAGAGTGTGTGGGTAACGATGTGAGATAGATTGAAAGAGAGGTGTTTTGTCTTCAATCCCTCCTTCAATCCCTTTCAGTCCCCATTGCGGGGTCGAAAGGAGTTTGACTAGACTGGTCTGGATCACGGCTTTGTTGAGGCTCTTCTTTGAAACAGTGATCTAAGAGTGCACCTCTAAGGCGATCATAAATGTTCTATCGAGGTAATATCAAAACGACATTATTTGACGACTCATACCAGCTCGAATATAGCATTAGCTAGTTCAACGTTCAACGTTATTGCTCATTATGTTTGGTTACCTCGCCTCCAAAAGTGCTCGTTGGTGCAAGGCCCACATTATCGGTGAGCCTCGCATTATATCGGTGAGCGTTCCCCATTACTACTGTCTCCCCCCCCCCCTCTCCTCACCTTCATGCTACAGCGTGCGGCGACTATGCCGATGGCTGACGGCGCAGCGCTGGTTCGACCACACCATCCTATTCTTCATCGCCCTCAACTGTATCACGCTGGCCATGGAGAGACCCAACATCCCTCCCGACTCGTACGAGCGGGCCTTCCTCGTCGCCTGTAACTACCTCTTCACGGTGGTCTTCGGACTGGAGATGCTGGTCAAGGTGGGTGCATTTAAGAGAGAGGTAGGGTGTTGGAGATGTAGTTGTTGTACCGACCACTCGGTTGGATGTGGTACAAACAGCTAATTGAAAACGTAATTGCTTGAGTCCCTAGTCGGCTTAAAAACGTGACATAGTCCGTGGGTTCTAATATGATTAATGTTAGATTAAATCGCATTGTATTCAATATTCATAGTTGTTCATGTGCACAGGCGACACTGCGAACGGTGAATTGAGAATCGTATCATGATAAATATCCTTGTATTAGTGGTATGAGGCTACCCGAATCCGATACTACTTACCCCGCCGCGCTTTAGCAGCTAATCAGAACTGAATGTTACAAGTTCGACTGATTTCCATGGGAGAATGGAATGATTAGCTGCTCGCTTTCTACTCCTTTCCTCGGCATATCTTCGTCATTTCATCTAAATTGCAAATGATATTGAAACAGCGTAACAAATATGTACATACTCTGCCCCAATCTCCGTAATCGCCATATGCGGATTTTTTGAAGGCTATATGCGGATTTTTGGAAGACTTTATGTCAATACACACATGCCTACATACATACATATGTAATTATTCTGACCTTTTCCCCTTGCAGGTGATATCCCATAACCTGTTGTACGGCCACAACAGCTACTTCAGTTCGGGCTGGAACGTCATGGACGGCATCCTGGTACTCATCAGCGTGGTTGACCTCTGCATGTCTCTCATGTCCACCGGCTCACCAAAGATCTTCAACATACTCAGGGTTAGTTGTCTGAGAGAGGGGGAGAGAAAGAGAGGGAGAGAGAGAGAGAGAGAGAGAGAGAGAGAGAGAGAGAGAGAGAGAGAGAGAGAGAGAGAGAGAGAGAGAGAGAGAGAGAGAGAGAGAGAACACGATAGCGTTTAGAGGTTGGTCAAGCGTAACTTTATCTCATCAGTGGTAACAGAAGGTAGAAGGTGTCGTCTAGTTTTCGGAAAACTATTACGCTCACTGTTTTTATTCTCTGTCGGTAAGTTTGTCGTATGTTGCGCTCATTTTCGGTTGCTATTCCGTGCTATGTCGGTATGTTTGCCGTATATTGCGCTCACTGTTGGTTGTTATTCTCCTGTTGTGTTGGCAGGTGTTCCGCTTGTTGCGCTCACTGCGTCCCTTGCGGGTCATCAACCGCGCACCCGGTCTGAAGCTGGTGGTACAGACGCTGCTTTCCAGCCTGAAGCCCATCGGTAACATCGTCCTCATCTGTATGACCTTCTTCGTCATCTTCGGCATTCTCGGCGTTCAGGTTTGTATCAAGGCTGAAACGCTCTTTCTGCATTCAGGAAATCGCATGCGAGAGCCTATTCAAATACATTATAATTCTTCCCGCATCAATCGCATCCGAGAGGTGCGTGCGATTGATGCGAGCGTGCTTCCATGTATGTTATTAGGCTCTCGCATGCGATTCCCTGACTGCGGAAAGAGTCTGTTTCAGACTTCAGGAACTAGTGAAAGGCAGAAGGGTCACATCCGGTAGAAAACCTCTGTGTCCTTGGCTTTCTTAGGTATTTATATATTTAATTAGATGAGGGCAGATTGTTGCATTGGGTAAGAGGCTTCAGAATATTTGCTAATGTGTTCTGCGCAGTGAACACCATATCATTATTATTTGCATGCAAACATAATTGATCAATGTCGGGAAATAACGGCTCGGAAGCACAAAATTAGAAGCGACATTTCAAACTGTATATTGCCGAATCGATAATGGCTATACCATTAACTGAATGCTGAATGATTAGCTTCAATCAAAGGGCACTTCAGCAAGGTTTCAATAAGCAATTCCAAACACATCTACCTACGACGAATAGCGCTAATACTACCTCACTAGCATCCCCCTTTCCTCCACAGCTGTTCAAGGGCACATTCTACTACTGCGACGGTGACGACTTAGTGGGTGTCACCAACAAAACTGAGTGTCTCAGTCGACCGGGAAACGTCTGGGTCAACCGCAAGTACAACTTTGACAACCTGGGCACGGCGCTGATGGCCCTGTTCGTGCTCTCGTCGAAGGACGGCTGGGTGAACATCATGTACACCGGTCTGGACGCAGTGGGGGTGGATCAGCAGGTGGGAAGGAGTTGCTGAATCGTCTGGAGGGTGCCTGGAAGGTGGCGCCAGTTTGTTGAATTTGTTGGTTTTTAAGCTTCTTTTGGTTGTTGTCTTTAGATCTTCTTTGCCAGTATTGAGAAGGGTTGTGTGAGCTGAATAAATGCATAATTATTTTCAGTCCATGCGATTGAACGAACAAGAAAGGAGCCACAGGGGAACTTAACGGGACAATGAGAAAGCTTGTCGATATTGTCATTTTGATAGTGTGATTTGTAAAGCTGTCGATAATGGTTTTAATTCTAGGTTTATGTCCAATTACATATTTGCTCTTTCCAATCAAACATTATCGTGATATTTCTATAATTGACAGGCAGTCAACGCCTACCCAAAGCGTGGTGTGTAAAATCAGACCTATATAACATACCGTGCCGTCCCACTATCCCTCCGCAGCCGATCGAGAACTACTCCGAGTGGCGTCTGGTGTACTTCATCTCGTTCCTTCTCCTGGTCGGCTTCTTCGTGCTCAACATGTTCGTCGGAGTCGTGGTGGAAAACTTCCACCGGTGTCGTGAAGAACAAGAGAAGGAGGAGAAGGCGCGCAGGGCCGCCAAACGAGCCAAAAAGATGGAGAAGAAGAGGAAAAGTATGATGCTGGCCAACGGCTGCGGTTGGTGGAGACATCTTGTGGCGACTTGTCAAAGCTTAACTTGGTTTGTCACCGCTGCTCGCAGCACCCGTTTGCTTGCGGCCGGCCGCCCTCGGGGTCACCTGGTGCAGCCAGAGACCCAGGCCATGTTTGACGGTACGCTACTAGCGGGTAGTAGCGGCTACCAGCGATTTCGGATTAAAATCAACAAACTGGAGGCTCACTTTGCAGTTTATTGATGTTTCAATGGGAACCGAAAATGCTAGAAGCCACTACTACCCTCTAGAAGCGTGCTGTGAAACAGGGCGGCGGGGTGCGGTCAGCCGCTTCACGGCCTGCCTTGGTATGGTTTGTCAGCCGCCGCACGATGCCTACTCCAGGACACCGTTTTTTTTTTTTTAAATAGTGACGTCATTAGTATATGACGTCATCGGTATGTGGCTCAAGAGCAAATCAACGGTGGACGAGACAGGTATTATAAGCTCATGCTTAAAATTTTGATCTCAATTCATCCGTGAGATGTTTTCAAATCAAATTGCTCAGCTTGCTTCATTCAGTGGTTATTGATGCAAGGTGACATTTGGTCTTGCAGTCTCGATTTTTCGCCACCCGTTGCATGGTCCACCGCTGGTTTGTGACACTATTTTTAGCTAGGGATAGACATTAGCATTAGACTGCTCATTGTGAAGTCACAACTTGCGGAGTAATTGATTTTGTGTTTATTTGAAACAAGGTTGACTCCCCGATAAGCATAATGTATCTTCATCTGTCATACAGCTCACTGTGGTAGTTGCGCTTATTTCCTGAACTAACATGAATCAATCACACGAATAAAGCCTGTTTCTTCTTCGCGTTACTAAAAATACGACACCGTACTTTCCTGAGAGCATTCCGCATGTTTTGCTATCAATAACAAAACATTAAAATGCCGGACTCCTATCGCTTCATTGTTAACCCTATTAGTGGCAGGTTCCTGGCTACCCCTATTAGTGGCAGGGGGGCTGTTTACGACCCCCCCTTGATATCTCGAGATCTAACGGGCCGATTTTCAAAATTCAAACGGCATTCGATTTCGCTCAACGAGATCTACATTTCTAAAAAAAACAAAAATAAAAAATGTCAATAGGGGGGGTAGAGGGGGGGGGGGTAAAAACGGGCAAATTGCAGATACACTTTAGACTGTTTATCACGGCCAGGTTTCTGAACCAATCTTAACGCAACTTTTGCCGATCGATAGAGAATGAACCAGGAATTCACATGGATCCTAAAAATATGCATTTCCAAAAATCATAGGCGGATACAGATCATTGAGATTGGGGGTACACAAAAAGTATAGTAAATAAGGTTTTTGTTGGTACTGTTTCTAAAAAGGGTGGCAATGGTCTTGTTATGTTACAATTTTCTTATGAGAGAACGACTAAAATTGTATTGGTCATGCATAGGCGGTGTCAGGGCACCTATGTTGGGAGGTAAAAAATAACCCCCCTTTTTGGACGCCTGGATCCGCCTATTATAGCAAAAACGTGTCAAAAGAGGATGCACAATAACTTTGTATATGTTATCACATGATACCTTTCATTCACTGTTCGTAAAACTGGTGCAGCATCGTGATCTTCGCCCAAATGACTCGCTTCACGAATAGGACCCCCCAATTCCCAGTGCTCTGGAGCCGCCCCTGGTAAAGTTATGAACTTGAAAGTTTCAGGGAATGTGCCCAATTTAGTTTTAGGAAAAGTCAGAAAATTTCAGCATCGTAGCTTCAGCGGTTTCGGAGATATTCCCGAAAAACCTGAGGGGTGGATAAAAACAACCCCCCCCCCCTGCCACTAATAGGGTTAAACAATCCAGCAATAAAATAAGTGCATCGTCAATTTTTGAGCACCGCGTGGTTTTCTAGCTTGGAACTAACAGCATGTTCAAAAATGGCTCATCTCGCTGTAATTTTGTCCAACGACACCCGAAATCGAACTCCACTGCCCACTTGTTCTTCGCTTTAATTTTCAATCTTAATGTCCTAACACCTTTTCAGCACCAGTATGGGCTGACTGTGAAAACTCCGCTCTCAATCAATCTTGAACACTTTCTCATCACCTTTTGGATGGTTGGCTTATGCCTCTCTTCACCTGTCATCACACAATATTGATAAGTAATGTTTTACGTCGCTTTATTACGCTCTCTGACCTTCCTTTATGTGCCTCTCTCCACCTATTTCTCCCCTCTCTTCCACAGAAATGCGCGAGCAGCCCTACTACGCCACGTACACGCCCGGGCGCCTTCTCATCCACAACATCGTCACCTCCAAGTACTTCGACCTGGCCATAGCCAATGTGATCGGTCTGAACGTGGTCTCCATGGCTATGGAGTACTACAAGATGCCCGAGGTAGGCAAGTGCTCTATGTGAGCCATAAGATATCCGAGGTAGGGCTCCAATCCACTGTTCCGTAATTTTCCATCCTCAGGGCAGTCAAACCATTGTTCTCTAGACCCTCTGTACCGGGATGTATGGTCATTTTTATCCGATGTGAGTAGCTCCTCAGGAGCAGGCTCAGGTGCGGTGGTGTGACCGTTAGCGGGGCTGGGTGTCTGTCCACGTGATGGGCTCAGCCCCGGTGGAGAACTATTGTTGCCGCCCATGACAATCTCTTCCCTAATTCTTATCATCCTTTCGAGCCCATTTGGACCAAAAAGGCCTAGCGCACGACAAAAAAAGGAATCAAAGTACCCTATGCCCTAATGATGCCCGAGATAGGACTTCAAATGTCGTCGGTGGGTCTCACGTACCCGAGCTGAGTTTTAGATGTCGAGTTGTGTCTCCAAGTGATCGTGGGTGTTTTTCAAGTCGACAGTGGGATGTCCCTAAATTCAGGGGAACTGAAAATTATTGGCCAGCTGTAAATAGAGGGAAGGCATCTTGTTGACGGTAAAAAAAAACAGCGTGATTTAGTTAATAGGTATGAAGATGCGCTTAAGAATTTCATATACAACACTATAGTGTTGTGGTGAATGCCTCTATTTACTCGGTATTTATGAAGGAGGCAATGTGAATGACAGCTTACGGTGTTATGTGGCTGATCTGTTCCTAACATAACCGTGATCGTTAGGAGTTGCGGTACGCGCTGCGCGTCTTCAACTTCTTCTTCACTGCCGTCTTCACGTTGGAGATGCTGATGAAGGTGGTGGCACTCGGCTGGAGGCGCTACCTCAAGGACAGGTTAGTGAACAGGTCAAGGTCATCGGCTGTCTGATTCGGCGTTTTGTCACAGATGTTGGTAAGAAATTTGACCGCAATATAAGGTATGCATTCTACTAGTTATATTTTAACATTCATTTATCTTACGGTAAAAAATGCAGCACTTGGCACTAGCTTTGGTGGTTCATAACATGCACGATAATAATAAAAAACTGGATTTCGGTATCATGGTTTTGTCCATGTCCTTCGACTTTGACCTCTGTTTCCTTTGTGACCTTGCTGTTATCCTACTTTGACACCTAACCTATAACCCTAGATCCCTAACCTCTGGTCTCTAACCGCTGACCTTTGACCTCTGACCGCTGACCTCTGGCCTCTGACTTACAGGTGGAACCAGCTGGACGTCGGTATCGTGGTCCTCTCGGTGGTCGGTATCGTACTAGAGGAGATGGAAAACGACCTGATACCCATCAACCCGACCATCATTCGAGTCATGAGAGTCATGAGGATAGCCAGGGGTGAGTATGAGAGTCATGAGGATAGCCTTGGGTGAATCTGAGGGTCATGAGGATAGTCAGGGGTCAGTGCGCCAACTTGGGACGGGCTGAGGTTTCAGAGGTGGGTGACCCTTTGGTCACGTGTCTGCAGAGGTGGGTGACCCTCTGGTCACGTGTCTGCAGAGGTGGGTGACCCTCTGGTCACGTGACCGAAAAGTGTACATTGCATGCTATGTATCTAATTGAGCAGGGTCTGTTGATTTGTTGATGTAAAGAGGTTTTGATGGAATGACTGACGGAACGAATGAATCAACGGATAAATGAATGAATGAATGAAGTGATGAATGGATGGATTAATGAAATAAAAAGGTATGAATGAATGGCATAATATGGTAAGGAATGTGTTTTGAACTCTAACCGAAAGGAAATAACCCATGTCGAATAAAGTATTCAACTTTGATGCAGAAGAAGGAATAAAATCGTCTTTAGATATGACGGTCTATTAAACAGGTGGGTGCATCTGTATTTAGTTGATATCTTTCCGAAATTCCGTCTCCTTTGTTACGATTTTATCGTTCTAATTCAACGCCAGTCTGACTGCGAATTGTCGTTTTGTTTCCAGTGCTGAAGCTGTTGAAGATGGCGAAGGGAATCCGGGCCCTGCTGGACACGGTAATGCAGGCGCTGCCGCAGGTCGGCAACCTGGGCCTCTTGTTCTTCCTACTGTTCTTCATCTTCGCCGCACTGGGAGTGGAGCTGTTTGGTCGGCTTGGTGAGAGAGGAAGAGTTCGGGAGGGAGAGAGAGAGAGGGAGAGAGAGACAGAGAGAGAGAGAAAGAGAGAGAGAGAGAGAGAGAGAGAGAGAGAGAGAGAGAGAGAGAGAGAGAGAGAGAGAGAGAGAGAGAGAGAGAGAGAGAGAGAGAGATGTGGCCTTGGATACCAGGGAAAAGGGGACATGGGTGCTGGGTAAAATTCAGGTTTGTTGACATGTGATGAGAATGCGGATACTTTTGAATATGACAGGCCTTGCTTGGCTGACTGCTGCTGTTTTTATTGTTTCATGCGTACTTTTTTAATGAATATGATTCTTAAATTTTAATTGTAGGAATTATATATTCGTTTAGACGTCTATCAATCACATTGGCATGAAACCAATGCAATCAATGCAAATAGTTACTGAGCACCAGGAAACGTCAGTGTGCTTACCTGCAAGTAACACATCAATTATGACACTCCAATTCATCGCGTTTTTCAGAGTGTAAGGAGGAGTACCCCTGCCAGGGTCTGGGCGAGCACGCCAACTTCAGAAACTTCGGCATCGCCTACCTGACGCTGTTCAGGGTGGCGACCGGAGACAACTGGAACGGCATCATGAAGGACACGCTACGGGAGAACTGCGATTCGTCAGGTCAGAAAGTTGTCAGTTTGGTAATCGGGACTCCCATGAGTGGCTGCTTATGGTGATGGCCAGAAACTGTAAACTGTTGGCCATAATACGGAACAAGAATTGTGTGCAGTTGATGATTGAAGTCCCAAGAAACGACTTTATTTAGTAAACTGTATTTCATCGGATGTGCAGGGTCTCTGTACATCTCACGATGATGATTTTTTTTCGCAATCTCTAACTGATGTTGTTGATAAAAACAAAACAGGGCGGGTGAGTCGGATAGGATTATAAAAGATAATGTGCTGGTCCATTTATGTACAAGCGTTACGCATGTATCGTTGGTGAAGATGAGGGTTTCAGCAATCAATACGTTAAATGCGTTAAATACCGTCATCCTAAGAGAGTTAAGACCATAATTACCCTAAAATGATATCCATCTACTAAACATATGTCGACACGACCATGTTTCTTCGCCGTGTTTCATCAAAGCACTATGCAGCCACGCATCGACTCCAACTGACCCCTGGCTCGCTCTTTGTCGCCAGCGGACTGCATCAAGAACTGCTGCGTCTCGCCCGTGATAGCCCCCATCTTCTTCGTCGTGTTCGTGCTGATGGCTCAGTTTGTGCTCGTGAATGTGGTGGTCGCGGTGCTGATGAAACATCTGGAGGACAGCCATAAACAGGTGAAGTGTTACAAACAGATCACAAACATGTGAGGTGCCACAAAGAGGTGAGATGTCACAAACAGGTCACAAACAGATTATAAGCACTACACAAACAGGTAAGGTGCCACACATATGTCACAAACCGCTCACAAATGGGTGAGGTGTCACAAACAGGTGAAGTGTTACGAACAGATTGTAAGCACTACACAAACAGGTGAGGTGTCACAAATAGGTCACACACAGATGAGGTGTCACAACTCACAAACAGGTCACAAACAGGTGAATGAGGTGTCACAAACAGGTCACACACAGATGAGATGTCACAACTCACAAACAGGTCAGAAACAGGTGAATGAGGTGTCACAAACAGGTCACACACAGATGAGATGTCACAACTCACAAACAGGTCAGAAACAGGTGAGGCGTCACTAACAGAGCACAACCAAATACGGTTTCACAAACAGGTTACAGACAGATGAGGTGTTACATCTCACGAGATGTAACACATAGATCACAGACAGACAATTGAATCGCATATAGGTTGATTGTCACAAACAGGTTACATGCAAAAAAGTCGCAAACAGAAGTCACAATTGTATTGGTTGTAACTGTCAAACGACAAACCTTCAGAAGGCTACAAACGTGCGAAATTGAGCCCGCTTAGGTGCTCAAAAGCACAACAATCCATAAGTATGGGTGTCGTCACCGCCGTGAGTGATTGAAGCGCGTTTTATGGTTTGTGAGAGTGTGTAGTTAAAATGACGGCTGGTTAAATGAATCAAAATCATTTAGTGGTGCAGCACAGCCCGTCCTGAGAGATATATTCAATTTTGGCTTGGCAAACGGTTTCTGCGAAAAAACAACAACACGATTTTGACACAATGACGGAACAAATAACACATAAACACAGCGCCAAGATCACCGCCACTGGAACAGTCCGCACACTTACCAAACGTTACTCATGTCGCCTCGGCGGTGATGAATGTTCACTTGTTCAGGCTTATACATTTATCGATATAAACAAAAGTTCTGTTTCGTTTCAGGAAGTTCGTTCTTCGTTCGTGTCTTCGTTATTCTCGGCTTCGGTAACTTGTACAAATTTAGTTGAAATATAAGTCGTAATTTCACATCTTCCAATCAAAATAATGGGCTTATTAACTCAATAGCCCAAAAGCTCACTGGCTTTCAAATTCTTCTCATATTTTGCCTTTTCAATTTTCAAATATTTACACAAATAAAACATTTTTCGCCACCTCGTGCATAAGTCGCTCCTGCTCCACAGCAGCGATGATCGAGGTCGCGACACCCTCCCCCCGCCAGTGTCCCACCCCTTGGGAACACTATACGTCAGCGTCATCAGCGGCCCCTTCAAGAAAGCACGTAACGTCAGTGAAGGGGCCGTGAAGTGGGCCGCTCAAGTTCCGTCTCTGCACCAGTCCAGCACACCATACCGCTCGCTCTCTCTCGTCTGCTGCTCCTGGGTCACCAGCTGATGTCGATCCTTCCTGCATGACGGAAGCGCCTCAGACATTCTCGTAAGGCCCCATGGTGTCGAGCTGATCCAGCCAGGATGACGTTCTCCCGTTGACGTCCACAGGTGCAGAGATAACGGCGCAGTAGTCGGACGGCTGTCTTGGCGGACGGGCTGTGCGGACTAGGTCATCAGGGTGTGTCTATCTGAAAGTCTATCGCCGAGACTAGCGCTGGCATATGTTACATGATATGAATGATGTGAATGATGTGTATGATGTGGTGACTGCAAACTAATCTGCTGTACTTGCTGTTACTTTGTGTTTGTGTGTCTATTTGTGCATGTTCAGTGCCATTCTTGGATCATATTCCTTGGCATCAGGATCACCACACATTCGTTCCTTCTGTCTTTCTTATAGTTGGTTTGCTGCTTCCTGAGGTCGTTCGAGGAAGCACACTTTGTTTGCTGGCCGTTGGTAAGTCAAACCATTGCCAGTTCTGAGTTGCAAGGAGCGGACGTGGCCATCAGCGCTTGGCGTAGTGCGGGTCACGGTCGCTAGCGGCCAGTACCCCCGTGGGGCTTGGTCGTCCACCATCATGACAACATCCCCGACTTCAATATCTCCGGTTCCAAGTGCCCATTTTTCACGTCGCATCAGATTCGGGAGGTATTCTTTCCTCCATCTTGTCCAGAAGTGGTTGGCGATCACTTGAGCATGTTTCCACCTTCTCTTGCTCAGTAGAGCTGAGTCATCAGTTGATCCTGGCGGCAGATACAGTTCTGGCGAGCCCAACAGGAAATGATTCGGAGTCAGTGGCTCGGGGTCATCTGCGTCGCCGCTGCAGTATGTTATTGGTCGACTGTTGACGACATACTCGACTTCTACCAGGGCTGTCGACAGAACCTCGTCTGTCACGACTTGCCGACCCAGCACAACTCGCAGGGCTCTCTTCACAGACGCTACAAGACGTTCCCATATACCTCCCATGTGGCTCGCCGTGGGAGGATTAAAGTGCCACTCGATCTGTTCTTGGCTGAGCTCGTCCAAAATTTGAGACTGGTTCCACTCCTTGATTGCAGTTCTCATCTCCTTTTCACCGGCTACTATGTTCGTACCGTTGTCCGAATAGACCACTGATGGCTTGCCTCGACGTCCAAAAAATCTCCTCATGCCCATGAGGAAGCTGTCAGTGTCTAGTGACCACACAACTTCTAGGTGAACAGCTCGGGTGCTCAAGCATGTTACCAAAAGGACCCAGCGTTTCTCGGTCTTCCGGAATTTCTTCACTTGCAGCGGACCGAAGAAATCTAAGCCGACGCAGTGAAATGGGCGGGTCGTGTCAAAACGGTGTCGCGGCAGATCTGCCATCTTCGGCTGAGACGGCTTCGCCCTCCTATTCCGACAGAAGGAGCACGCATACAGCACGTGTTTCACGGTCGCTCGACCCCTCGGTATCCAATATTTGCTGCGGATCATACTCAGCGTGTGCTCCACTCCAGCATGCAATGCTCGTTCATGGGCGTCTTGTATTAGCATGCGCGTCACCTCATCCTTTCTACTTAGGATGACTGGATGTCTAGCATCTTCACATATAGGAGCGAGGGAGAGACGGCTGCCGGCTCGCAAAAGTCCCTGTTCATCCAGCATAGGTGACACGCTCAGCAGAGGGCTGGAGGGATGCACTGAACCGCTTGTTGCTATCTTTTTGATGTCAGTTGAAAATGCTCGCTGCTGCGCGTCTTTCAAAATCATCATTTTTGCCGACTCGATTTCAGGACCATTCAGTGCTGTAAGAACCAACGTACGTTTTTGCACAGCGGCTTTCAGGTTGTCGATGTATCTTTTGATCCATGCTACGATTCTAGTATACTTGTTCCATGACGAAAATCGTGCTGGATCTGGCAGTACTGACCGGTATGTCTGGACCTGAGTGCTCAAAATATGCGGAGTCCTTCTCACCTCTGGATCGGCGTGGTCCAGATCTGATGAACCCATTCCTTGAGAGGGCCAAAATTCTTCAGTTTTCTTCAGAAATTCTGGACCTTCCCACCATGACTCTAGGTCATTCAACGTGGCGCCGGAGGCTCCGCGGGAACAGGCATCCGCTGGGTTCAAATGGCCCGGGACGTGCTTCCAATCTTCGCAGGAGGATAAGTCCAATATTTCGGCAACTCTGTTCGCCGTGAATGTATGAAAGCGGCGGCTCTCATGCTGGACGTAAGCCAGTACGATCTTGCTATCTGTCCAGTACAGAGTACGGGAGAGATGGTAGGTGATTGACTGTTTGATACTTGCAGCCAGTCTACAGGCTAACACCTAACACTAATATCCAGTCTACACTTAATATCCAGTCAATCAAGCCCAAGCTGCTAGAGCTATCTGACGTCCTCGACTGCAATCAAATCGACCTGCTGTGTCTTTGTGAGACATGGCTACGACAGTGGTCGATAAAACTTCCAACGTGCCAACGCTCGTTGGAGCAAGATATTAGCAATGCTTCGAAGAGCTGGAGACAGTCCGCCCGTCTACATGGATGCTTCCTAACGCCTAAAATACAGCATTGACTTATGACTTTCTAATCGTCCGGTTCTAAGCGTACCGCGTGTATGTTCCCTACTCCTGGTCACCCTTCGGTCACCCCTCGCCGGGTCGGGCCAGTCGGCTATTTTTATCCTCTTTCCGGCTAGGCCACCCGCTGAGCTCCCGACGTGCCGCGCCGTCTGCGAGGGACCTGACCCTTCTGCCGGGACAGGTTTCTCCAGGTGTCTCCAAGGAGCCATCATAGCGCTAAGGGTGTGCTCCGCATACACATACATTGATTTTCGGCCTTACTAGCAGGGCCGCTGGCACGCGTTGGCAGCGCCCTGCGGGCATTTTTTTCGCTTAGGGTCATTTTGTGGTAAGGAGGATCAGAAAATCACCCTTCCAACTTTCTCCAGGCCTGGGTGTTTTATCGGGCGCGCCTGAAAACGCACAGTGGACCGAAATCGCACTTCGATTGCGTTACTTCGTATTAGGTAATACGATAAAAAGTCCGCTCTTTTCTCAATCAATAAGGACAAGTGCGTTAAAGCACACATATAAACTTTTGAATTAGAAGCTTTAAAATGCTAAATTTCAACATCTCTAGCTGATGATAATCGTTAGTTGTTTCAGACTTTGGCGCGAAAACGTAGGCATTCAGATCCACCGTGCGACCGGTCACCGTATGCAGTAGTGTGATGGTGTGAGTTGGGGAGTCAAGGCCGTGTGGGGAGAAGGTGAGGAGATACCGGTGTGCCGACGCGGCGGATGGCAGTGAATTTTCAGGATAGGTAGCAAAAGGCTCATTCCCAGACGTTGTGCCAAATTTTGCGGCGCTACGCGACACCAACTTTTACGCTATTCGCGAAAAAAAATTAGGGAGGCTGCCCCCCCCCCCCCCGCCAGGCGAGGGCTAAGTTGGAGACAGTGGTGGGACTAAGATGTTCGTTGGAGCAACTCCAAGCATTTTATCGACCTCTGGGCTACGACCGGCCACTCCGAATCGCCTGCTGGTCCTGCCGG